GTCAGAACATCGCGCGGCGCGGCATTGCCTCTGGTGGAATCAATCTTAGTAAAGGGGGTCGGCTGGCATGAGTCCGCGCGGCAAACGCCCGATCTGAAAACCGACGCAGGCCAAATAATCACGCGCGACGGCCATATCCGCGGCGATCCTCAACGCCCGATCTGTAAACCGACGCAGGCCAAATAATCACGCGCGACGGCCATCTCCGCGGCGATCCTCCTGTCCGCTCTAGACCCTGCACTATTTTTCGACAAAGCAGCGAACGCGCACTTCGCGTCAACGATAGACAAGGACGAGGCGGCACCTCCGATCCCGCAGTCACGAGACAAAATCGTCGAGAACGGTCCCAGCCCAGCCGGGTCTCCACACGCCCTCGAAAATCCGTTATTCGGCTTCGGCGAGGGCCGCACCAGCACTCGCGACCACCCTCTTAAGCCTCTGCGATCGCCGTGCCAGGAGACTCACCTTAGCACGACGATTCTGGCGGATGGCTCCGTCGGCCGCAAACAAGCCACCCCGACTCAGCGCCCCCGCGACTCGCGGACCCAGGACCTCCCGCGCCCGAAGCGGTCGCGAACGAAACCCCCACTGGATCAAGAGTTCCAAATCGTGATACACTGAGACGCTGAGGCGCGAACGAACTTAGCAACCTCGTCGGCCATTAGAGCATCCTCCTTGGTGGGCCCCGGCAGCGCGGCAGCCAATGACGAGGCACCACCCGCCACGTCTAGGCGAGACTCCCGACCGAGCGTCCCTGATGCCCATTCCCAAGACGCCGGTGTGGCCCGCGTCTCTGCTGCTGCTGGTTCGGTTGCATTTTCTCTGTTCTCTTCGCGCGCGGCCGCGCCACGCTGGTCCTCCTGGTCCTCGACACCTCGACCCCCCGGAAGCTCAATCAATATCTCGGGCATCGCTCCGCTTACCACCGTCACACACGTAGGGACGCATGGCGCTGGGAGCCCAACGACCTCGATGAGCACTGGGGCATTTTCAGGTTGCACGCTCGCGCAAAGCCTAAAGGCTACGGAGGCGATCCAAAGAGGGAGGGAGGAACACCACACCACGGGCCCACTAGGGCCTTCGGGCAACAGCAGCAGGCATGTTGGGTCGACGGCGCTGGCGCATCCCTGGGGCAGTCTCCATTGCACGCGGCGGTGGGCGGGAAGAGCTCAGATTCTCACACGCGAGCAGCATCCATGTGCCTCGCTCCACTACTCGGACGGGGTTTCTTTGATTGTCTGCCTGAGGTGTAAGGCCTACGCGGGTCACGGGTACGTCAGGAAGCCCTCGAGGTAGTGTGTGGGCACACCCAGGAGGTGCGGGTTCCAGATATGTGTGGCAGCGGATTGCGAGCGGGCACCACCCCAAGTTCGAAGACGTGACTGTGGAGATCGGGCCCTGGTCCAAGGGGAAGGTCGCCATGTCCGCTCACAGGCAGCCCAGGTTGTCTTGCTCAGACCTACCCTCGGAAAGCGAGGGGATGCGGTTTGCCAACCTCTGGGCGGCGGCTGACTCTTTGATAGGACAATGATTCTAGCTGTGATCCCCACAGGGTGCTCTTCAATGATGGTGAAAACTCGAGGTCCGATGAAATATTCAGATCGTCAATGCACGCGCGGCTTCGCCGCCTCTTTTAGTGCTGCTCGTGATTTGGCCCGTGCCAGGGGCAGCATTCGACTAGGGGGTCGACTACAGAATTGACTTGCCCCAGACTTGATCTTCTCGTCGTGCCATACGTAGAAGCTTCGCAGATCTACGAAGATCCTATGCGTTCCTCGTGGATGCGAGGACTGCCGATCGATGGCCCGGCTGCGCGGGCCCCCTCGGCGGCCGCCTGCCGGGAGGCAGCCGCACGACACGGCCTCCGCCTCTCCATCCTGGGGGTCGGGCCTCTGGCTCGTCCGATGCCTCTTCCTTGCGTGATCTTAGGTCGGGCCTGTCCCCCTCCGGGGGGATTTTGGACGCAAATAAAAAGATATTCAAAAAATATTCAACAGATGCCCCAAAATACTCCAAAAATAGTCCACATACTATTGTTTGACTATTTTTGAATATTCCCCCTGTAGAGGAACAGGCCCGACTTACGCGTGAATCCCTTCCTCAGCTCTGGAAGAGCCATACGCCAGGGGTTGTCATTCTGCCCCCAGCTGGCACTGTTACACGGGGGGGGAAGGGGGGGGGAAGAAGAAGCGCCCTGAGCCTCGAGCCTTGATGAGCCATGGGCCACTGCCTGCCCTTTCTCTCCCACCTGGCGCTGTCACCGGGGGGGGAGGAGGAGGGGAGGGGGGAAGAAGCGCCTGGAGCAACGAGCCGTGAGCCAAAATTGGCGACGGTAAAGAGAAGGCAGGAGGGAGGGGGCGATATCATCCCTTGGTGGTACTCGCTGCTCCCCTCCTTCGCCTCCTCCCCCTCCCGACCATCCTTCTTCCTACGTATACTGGTCATGCATCCTCCTCATCCTCCTCCTCCTGACCCTCTCTCCTCCTATCCTCCCCCACCTTACCACCACCCCTCCTCCTCCTCCTCATCATCATCCTCCTCCTCCTCCTCCAACTCGTGATCCGTTCTCCTTTCCTCCTCCTCCTCCTCCTCCTCCTCCTCCTCCTCCTCCTCCTCCTCCTCCGCCTCCGCCTCCGCCTCCGCCTTCGCCGCCTCCTCCTCCTCCTCCTCCTCCTCCTTCTCCTCCCTCCTCCTGATCTGGCATCATCCGCCTGATCCTCCAATTCCTGACCCGCATTCCTCCTTGTCCTGCCTCTCATTCCTGCACTGTTGAGAACACCGTGCGCAGTGACAATTTGTGTACGAATTGCAAATCTTATCACACGAAGCCGGTCGTGTGAAGGCGCAACATAGAACCCATTGAAGGAGCAGGGCGCAGGACAAAAACGCGGTGCACGACACTTGGATAACACCTCGAACACCTTCTGGAACATCCGATGCTAGACTATCTCACAAACCAGGGTACCAGTAAGAAGGACAGATGAGCGACGATCAAAAAGGCGTCCTACGCGAGACGGCGCAGCGACCCTACGCCGCGGCTTCCGCGGGCAGCTGGCGCGGCACGCAAGATTGAAAGCGAGGGCGCTTACGCGCGAATGTAAGCGCAGACGACACCGTTTCTTCGCGTCGCTCGGATGAGCGACGATCTGAAAAAAGGCGTCGCACGCAAGATGGCACAGCGGCCTTACGCGGTGGCTTGCGCGTGCCGCTGGCGCGGCGCGCAAGACTAGGCGGCGAGGGCGCTCACGCGCGACCTCGGCAGCTCACGCGCGAGTGTCTGACGATCCCGTAGTGTTGCGTCACTCAGATGCGCAACATGCATGGATCGGTGGCGAGCGAGGGGGGGTGGGGGAGTGAGAGGGAGAAGGCCTTGGCCTTCTGAGAGGTGTTCGAAGCCTTCCCCGAAGGCACAGAAAACTCCTCAAGAGGCGCGAGGGCTCCTGAGAAGTTCTGCCACCCTCTGAGAAGGCCTTTTCCTTCTCACCTCCCCCCCTCGCTCGCCGCCGAATGGAGCACGCACCAGCAGAACGCGGCGGCGAGGGGACAACGGGGAGCCGAGAATGCGAGCGTCGGAGGGCGCCAACTGCTGCACACCCACGCCGATCCTGGCCGGGCCGACGATCCTGGGCCCAAGATCGGCACACCTGCCCCCCTGGCCAGGCTGATTCTGGAGATACGAAAAGGACCTCTATCCCTTGAGCAGGGACCGACCGTCCCGGCATGTCTATAGGCCTACCACGACATGTTCTTAGAACGCAAAAATGATCCAAGAACAAAGACACGGTTCTTATAACATACGCCTCATGTGCTAAAACAAGACAGCTCCAGCCAGAAATGTTCTGAGAGCATCTCGCGGAAACCACAAACAATTGTTTGAACATTCTTTGCTGCTCCACGGTCTGCAGTGCTGGCCGCACCGGCCGCCAACCCGTGCTGCTCCTCGCGCCGTGGGTGACCCTCCTCTCCTGCCCGCCCTCCGCGGCCGCCCTCCTCCAGTCCTCCCCCCTCCCTCCTCCCTCCTCCTCCCTCCCTCCCCCCTCCCTCCCCCCTCCCCCTCCTCCCCCTCCTCCCCCCTCCACCTCCTCCTCTTCCTCCTGCTCCTCCTCCCCTCTCCTCCCCCCTCTCCTCCCCCTCCCCCCTCTTGCAGCCCGACAATTAGTGCCGTGACTTAGCCCGACCCATTAGAGCGCGCGAGCGGATTGCCTCTGCCGCACGCGAGCGGGTTGTCCTCCTGGTCAGGCCGATCCTGGGCAAACAAAAAATACCCCTGTCGTTAGGACGGGCATGTCCTCCTACAGGCGGATTTGGGGCGAGATTCAAAAAATAGTCAAACGATACTCAAGAATGATCGCCCCCTGACTATTTCTACTACTTTTGAACTACCCTCCTATAGAGGGACATACCCGACTCAACCCTACCGCTGCTCCACGGATCTCGCCTGGAGTGCGCTCGGACCAAGACTTCGAGGCAAACCTGGGCGCGGCGGCGAGGGGAGGGGAGCAGCGGTGGTATCTTGAAAGAGGCCCAGGGACACATGAATGGATTCCCGTCGGTCGGAAGAACTAGGTAGAAACATGAAGTAGGAAGGCGTTGAAAGTAGATTGAGCTCCGTCCGCCCCCAAAGGAGGACGGAAAAGGCGAAGCCACTCGATCACTGAAGTCGGAAGGCGCTCAAAGCAGATTGGAGCCTGGGAATCCACAAAGCAAATGCCTGTGCTCCACGACCGACGGGCAAACACGAACCCCAGGCCTCCCCATACGTGTTCGTGCTCTCCTCCTCCTCCTCCGCGGCCCCGGCGTGGCCGATGCTGGGCCCAGGAAGGGGCCCGGACGAGCAGCGGCATCGGCCATCTTTCCGTCCTCCGACTTCTGGCCGCTCGAGCGCCGTGGAGTGCCCACGCGCGCCGCCGGGAGGCCGAGCGGGCCCGGGCCGCCGCGCCCCGCATGGGGCAGCCCGCGAAGCGCGGAGCGCCGAGGCCGCCGCCCCCGCGCGCGGGGGCCTAGTCGGGGCGCCGCGGCGCGCAGGCGTGGTTCAGCCTGGCGGCGTGGCAGGCCTTGTGGGACTGCGTGCGGCATGCGCGCCCGTACCTCGGGAAGTGCTGCTCCCCTCGTGTGCGCCAGGGGCCACGTCCCAGGAATGGTGTCGAGCACCCGGGACCAGCGTCGAAAGAGTGTCGAAAGAGGGTCGGAACGACGTGGGACGAGTGTCTCCCAGGGCCCGACGCGTGAAAGCCGTCGAACTTCGGTCCTCTTTTGGTGCTCGAAATTCTTTCTGGCGATCAAGGCTAAAGCAGGTGTGAACATCATAAACCTTGGGGAGCCGAGGGGAACCGGCCGACCCCGCTACTCCCTGGATCTCTTCGGGAGTGCAGTCTGACCAGAACTTCGAGGAGAATCCAGCCGCGGCGACGAGGGCCTCCCAGCAGGCGCAAACAGGCCAAACCGGGGGAAGGGTAGCTGCATCGGTACCTCTTCCTCCACGGAGTACCAGCAGTCGGCGCGCCCGCGGGCCCGCGCGGGCAGCTCGGCGTCGGGGATGCGCTCCCGAATAGACCTGATGGACCAGCTGAGGAGGGGAAGCTTCGAGATGGAATCGGCGATACATCGCCGATATATCGAAGATACTTAGGCCCCCCGATGGCGAATCCGCACGTTCCTGGGTAATTCGGGCGGGGCCATCGGGCCCATATCGGCGATGAATGGGCGATTGGGGGTCGATGCATCCCCCCTGGAGCCTATCTCCCTCTGCCGTTGCCCCTGAGTCGTTTGGCTTTCGAGTCATAACTCGGATCTACGGCGCCGTTCGGGACGATCTGGGCACCGATGGCGCAGACGCTGGAAGGCATCCCGAAGCTGGAACACCGATGAGGACCGACAAGCCAGGCCACAGTCCTCGAAAACCTGGAAAATCTCGACATGTTCCCGCCTCTGCCGAGGGCCCGCGAAGAGTAAGCGCCCCCAGAGTCAAATCGAGAAGTCGGAACGGCGATCGACACGACTCATGTCGGCGGAAATCGGCTTCGGAGTCGGGAAAAGTCGAGAATCGGCGGACCTCCGCAGGCTGGCAGGCCTCCGTGGAGAAATCGGACCCCGGATCGGAATCCGAGGACGAATCGAATCGGAATCGGAATCTCGGGGGGGGCGAAAGGAGGGCATAGCAAAGGGAAGGGTAGAGAATCAGCTCACGTAGCTGATTTTCCCTGCGCCTCCCCGCGCCGGGAGGCGGCCATGTATCCAGGAATGGGCCCGGCGGCGGGGCCGAAACCAGCTGCAGCGGATGTCGTACCCCCCCTTTCCACATCCCCCCTTTCGTTCGGCCCGAGAACCCAGAGATCCGATGTCGTGTTTTTTTCAGTACGCGGTCCCCCGAAGTCTCGACCCATTCCCCAGGACCGGTTCTTCATCCTGAGTCGTTTGCCGACGGCCCCGGGGCTCAGCGAGGGCCCCTGGAGGCCGACAGCTCAGAAACACCTCCGTCCGGATGCTTCCAAGGCGCTGGACCTCTGGGAAGCCATCGACCTCGCAGCCGGATCGCATCGGAGCCCTGCCTGCCCCCCCGGGGACCACACGACGTCTCCCAGCACCGACGTCGCGCAGGGCCGGCAGGCCAGCACGCCGCCCCAGGGCCCCCGCGGCAGAGCGCGCGGGTCCCGCAGGGCGACCGGCCGCACGCCCGGCGGGTTCGGGTCGACCTGGGGACCCGCTCCCTAAGGGGCCCAGCCTGGGGCACACCCCCAGGCAGGAGATCGCGTCGCCAGAAGAGCTCAGGGCGGGAGGCGTTCGGCCGTTTTCGGCCCCTGGGGGCCCTGGCAGGCCCCCGGGAACGTCAGAAAGCGACTCAGGAGGAAAGCCCGGTCCTAGGGAAAGGGTCGGGGCTTCCGGGGACGCCGTACTGGCAAAAACTGAGCGTCGCATGTCTGGGCCACGTAACATATACAAATCCCGAGACACCCCCCATTGGTTCCCTGTTTTCTGCACGTTCGTCTTCCCCTCCGCTCCCCACACATGTTCAACATTGTCGTTGGGATCGGCGCTTCTTGGTGTCTGTGCTGTTTTCCCTCCTGAACGACCCCCACGAACAAGCTGGTCCAGCACAAGACCGCGGAGCTAGGGAGCCCACAAAGGGCGTACGCGCCAAACCACGTACATGAGCAAGGCCCCCCCAGTCCGCGAGACCAGCCGCGTGATACGAACGTTCGCGCCATGCGCACTTTCCAAACCAACGTGGACTCATGTACGTGAGGAGCGGGGGCTGCGTGCAAGAATGGCACCCCCGCTTGCACACCACCCCCCCGCCAACAAGCCGGTCCGGCAAAAGATGCGCGGGCCGGGGCGGTGGCCACACATAGGGGAACGAAAAATTGCATAAACATAAAACCTCGGAGGTCCGCGCGGAGTTCTCGGATCGGCGCTGGACCCCCCTCCCTGGCGAGCGGAGCGCGCCAGGGGCGGCGCCTGAGGCGCCGCCGGGGGACCCCAGCGCCGATCCGAGAACTCCGCGCGGACCTCCGAGTGTGTATGTTTATGTCATTCTCCGTTCCCTCACACCTTGGCATCGCTCGGACGTCCGTTCCCCGTGCTTTGTTCGGTGTCGTGCGCGCTTTTCCGCCAAGTGGTCCAAGGATGCTCCTCGATGGCCCTCGCCGCCGGAAGGATGCACACGTCCGAGCGATGCCAGGCCTGCACACCTCGGCCCCCCGAGGACCAGCACCGACTCCAGGGCGGCGGCCACCTCGCAGCCCTGCGCGCCCAGCCACTCCTCGGGCGCGGGGCCACCCACACACGGGCTCTCGGAGCTCCGCGCACAGCGTTCCTGGGTCGGCGCCCGGACCCCCCTACAAGGCAGGTGTTAATGCAGAGGATGTGTAAAGATATAGGATGTTTAATGCATGATTCATGTATGAATAAATTGATGCTTGAACTCATCGTTGTTTTTGATACTAGATCCCTGCGTGTTTGATACATGATCCGCACGCGGAGCATGGATTAAAAACGGCACCGTGTGAAGGCGCCTTCGGCGGGGGCTGCGAAAGGTCATGTTTCTGCCGATGCCTGCTCCTCGATCCCAGGGGCACCGATGGCGGGGGGATGTATTTTTGGGCATCTTTTGAACATGGTTTGCGCACTTTTTATTTTTCGTCCAAAATTGACTACCTACCAGACCACCCCAACCCAACCCGAAGACCCCAATTTCGGGTTGGGGGGGGTACGGGTTCCATATGTGTTTTTTCAACGTTCCCCGACCCCCCCCCCCCACTGGAAATCGAGGGCAAATCTGAGCCTTCGGGTTGGGTTGGGGTGGTTTGGTGGGTGGTGAAAAATCCCCTTGTAGGGGGACAGGCCCGACCTAACGATATGGGGGGGGGCCTTGGCTCCACGGGAGGGGGGGCGCGTCGACGTGGAAGCGGCGATGCATCGCCGGCGGATCAGCGCGAGGCCCCCGGATGGCCAATCCGCACGCTCCTGGACGGGGTGGGGCTATCGGACCCCTATGGGCGATCAATGGGTGATTGTTGCGGACGCCACGGCAATGAACACCCGAACAGTCCTATCGTCGAATAACAAATGTGGTTAAAATGTCAGAAAATATCCTGAAGATGCTTAAAACATGTGGTGCACATGTCTTTAAACAAATTTAACACATGTTCTAGACATCTGGAAATTACTTGGCAGCATGTTTCCTCCCCATTGATCGTCCTCCACAAGGTGATGGGGGGTCGATGCCTCCCCCCCTTGAGCCTAAACATGTTTCCAATTCGAAACACGTTGGAAACCCCCTCCAGACAGCTAGAAGAGATCCTTCGGCAGCACGCCTCCTCTGCCATGACGTCGACTCCCACAAGGCCATCCGACTCCTATCGGCGATCAGTGGGCGATTGGGGGTCGATGCCTCCCCCCCCCCCCCCCCGGGGCCAACCTCCCCCCCCTCATGGGACGCACATGGACATACTAATACTATATGTCCTCCTTGGAGGCGCGCGTCCGACCCGAATATGTAGTATACCCATCTTGTAGTATACCGTTTCCCGAGCGGTGTGGCCAGAAAGCGCACGCCACGACGCATATACTATAAGATTTCTCGGTGCGCGCGTCGCCCCTGGGGGGGCGACGCACATATAGTATAAGTATGTTGGGGTGTTGCCGACCTCACGCTGCCCCCGAGCCGCCTGGCTCTCGGGCCCTGGCTCGGGCCTGCGGCGGCCGCCTGGGGCGCTCGCGGGCCACGCCCGGAGCGCCCTGTCGGCGAGGCGCGGCCGCCGGAGGGCGCCCCGAGGCCAGCAGACCGACGAGGACCGCGGAGAACGCACGAGCAAGTCGGGCCTGTCCCCCTACAGGGAGACTGTGGTCGGAAAATTCAAACATGTTCAAAATATACTCCCAACATGCTCCAAAATAGTATAAAAAAGGTCCCCTGACTGTTTTTTGACTATGTTTGAATATTCCCCCTGTGGAGGGACGGGCCCGACTTAAACGTACGAAAACCTCGAACCCCGACCCCGAAGACCTCGAGCCTCGAGCCCCCTGCCGTTGCCCCCGATCCTCCAGGACGCCGAACTCGAAGTCGTTCTTCGCGAGCGCGTCCCGCGCGAACACCGAGGCCTCGGGCGGCGTGGGCGCCACGGAGGCCACGGCCGAGCCCAGGCTCCGCCACGCGGGCGAGGTGCAGTGGAAGCACCGGCCAAGGCCCGGGACGCCCGCGCCCTCGGAGCCTGGCTCGGAGGCCTCTCGGAGGATGAGAGGGTACCGTCAACCAGTATAGTAAAGATGCGCGATGAGGATGCAAGGGTACCCTTGGGAAGGTTGCCCATCCTTACCATCATGGTTGACTGCACCGTGAGAAAGCTTGGGAGAGGGTCTGATTTGAGCTGTCCTGGAGGGTTCTGGGGGGTCTGGGCAGAGGGCCGCCCTTTCACGGCCGGCTGGGAGAGGGTCCGACAGGGCCCCGGCTGGCGGGCATCATACCCCCCGCCCCTGTTTTACGGAATCGAGAGCACCCATACCGCTACCTCTCCCTCGTTTCCCTCTTTTTGGGACCTTCTGGGCGGCCCTCGTCGCCACCGCTGGGTTCGCCTCCAGGTTCTGGCCAGAACGCACCCCGGGAGGGGTCCGCGGAGTAGCGGCATCGGTATCTTTTAGTCTCCCCCGCCTCGCTGCTCGACGCGTCGTCCGCGCTCCCCCCGCTCCCACTGTCGCCGTCCTCATCGGGGAACACAAGAGAGGTCACATAAGCGTAACCCTTCGGAGGTCCGCACGGACCTCCGAGAAGTTAGGCATACTCCAGATGTCGCCATGTAAAATGGACGGGGTCACAACCCTGAAGGGGCCCTGGGACACACAAATAGATACACACAAATAAAGTAATTCCCCATATGTTCCTATATTTTTGGGTTTTTGCCTTCCCCCCCACTTCCCATAGTTTTGCACATTTTCCTGGGAGTCGACGATGAATTATGTCTGTGTGTTTCTTTCCCTCCTGAAACCCTCCCAGGCGAGCAGCTTTAGGCCCCCCCAAGACCAGCCACGAAAGGGCGGCCTTCTACCCAGACCCCCCTTGAACCCGCCACGACGGCTCCACTTAGACACTCGCCATCGCTCGGACGTCCATTCCCTGCATTTTTGTTTCGGTTTCGTGCTTGGTTTTTTCGCCTAATGATCAAGGATGCTCCTCGATGGTCCTCGCCAAAGGAAAAAAAATGCACACGTCCGAGCGATGCCAAGGACCCCCCCCCAAAGTCAGATCCCCTTTGTGGTGGCATCTGGAGGAGGCCCTTTCTCGTTGACTCTGGGAGCTGCTGTGGCAACGGTGCTTGCAGCGGCAGCGGCCGAGATTGTGGATGCAGCACCGGCAATCGCCGGCGCGGGCGGACCTCCGCAGGTTGTGTGTTACGGCCGGGCCTAGGACAGAAGAGCATCCTCCAAGACCACGCGACCCTCCGCCGGCCAAACCGAAGCACATGCGAAGGTCCCCTCCCCCGGGAGGCACAGAAGCATCCAACAGGCACGAAGAACAGCAGGAACGAGACCCTCCGCCGGCCAAACCGAAGCACATGCAAAGGTCCCCTCCCCCGGGAGGCACAAGAGCAGCCAACAGACACGAACAGAAGTAGGGCACCCTCGACCTCGCTCCTATGTAGACGGCGCGCCCAGGGGGGAAGTGAGAGGGGCCGGGCCTTCTGAGAAGGCTCGAAAGTTCACTGGCCTTCTGAGAAGTTTCCGACCCTTCCCCGGAGGCACAGAGCATTTCTCAGAAGGCTCGAGGACTTCTGAGAGGCCCCGCCAACCTCCTGAGAAGGCCACCTCCTTCTCACTTCTCCATCTCGCTCGCCGCCAGCTGATACTTCTGTGGCAAGACATGGGACCCTCCCATAATTACCAACTCGTTGGCTCTTGCGAATCGACGCTGAATCGACGCTCATCGACGCTAAATCGACGCTAAATCGACACTAGATCGGGGCTATCCCATCGACTCCACGACGCCAATCGACGCGAGAGCAATCTAAACATCGGAATTACGGGGACATACAGATTTCCTATGTTTTGCTCCCGGTGTATACCTCGGTCCGACCGATGCGTTTCTTGGAGGAACGCCAGCGATAGGGCATTCTGAAACCGCGGCGATGCATCTGAGACCTCGAAGTGCATGTGAGTTCGTCGTGCGACGACCTTGCGGGCCAAGCCGAGCGGACTCGAGACATCGGCATCGCCCGTGACAAAAGCACTTTTCTCTGGGGCTTCCCTTGGAATCACATGACCGAACCGACCGTATGCCACGTTTGTTCAGTGGCAACTCGCGGGAGCCTCCCATAACACCTTGTCGGCTCTTGCGAATCGACCCGAATCCACGCTAGTCGACGCTAATCGATGCAAACCGACGCAGAAGCGACGCTAATCGACGCGAAAAACATAATTAAGAGGGTATGGGCGTGGGCGGGGGCGTGGTGCCGTGGGTGTGGGCGTGGGCGTGGGCGCGGGCGCAGGCGCGGGCGCAGGCGCGGGCGCGGGCGTGGGCGCAGGCTTCGGCGCAGGCGTGGGCGTGGGCGTGGGCTGGGCGTATGCGTAGGCGTGGGCGTTGGTGCGAGCGTGGGTGCTGGTGTGAGTGTGGCGTTGGGCGTGGGTGTCATCATCATCATCATCATCATCATCATCATCATCATCATCATCATCATCATCATCATCAGCAGCAGCAGCAGCATCAGCATCAGCATCAGCATCAGCATCAGCATCATCAGCATCAGCATCATCAGCATCATCATCATCAGCATCATCATCATCGTCATCATCATCATCATTATCATCATCAGCATCATCATCAGCATCATCATCATCATCATCATCATCATCATCAGCATCAGCATCAGCATCAGCATCATCATCATCAGCATCATCAGCATCATCATCATCAGCATCATCATCACCACCATCGTCATCAGATGCATCATCATCATCATCATCAGCAGCAGCAGCATCATCGTAATCACCATCATCATCCTCATCAGCATCATCATCATCAGCAGCATCATCGTCATCGCCATCATCAACATCATCAGCATCATCATCAGCAGCATCATCAGCATCATCAGCAGCATCATCATCTTCATTTTCATCATTGATATCACCAGCATCATCATCATAATCAGCATCATCATCACCACCATCATCATCATCACCATCATCATCAGCAGCAGCATCATCAGCATCATCAGCAGCATGACCATCATCATCATCAGCATCATCATCACCACCATCGTCATCATATTCATCATCATCAGCAGCAGCATCATCGTCATCACCATCGTCATCCGATTCATCATCATCATCAGCAGCAGCACCATCACCATCATCATCATCATCATCATCATCATCATCATCATCATCATCATCATCATCATCATCATCATTATCATCAGCATCATCATCATCAGCATCATCATCATCACCATCGTCATCATCATCATCAGCATCATCATCAGCAGCAGCAGCAGCCCCACGAGCTGCTACCGAGCGCTTGCTTCCCCGAGTCCTCGCCCTCGTCGTCGCTGCCGGCGGCGGGCCCCACGAACCGCGCGGCTGGCGCGCGGGGGCGCAGGCACCCCAGGTCGTAGTCGGCCGCCCGCAGCACGTCGGCGGCGTCGACCTCGGCCAGCGCGGCGGCGGAGCGGCCGCGCCCGGGGTCTGCCTGGGAGCAGGGGGCAAACGACAGCACCAACTCCGACGACGACGACTCCCCCTACAGCCTCCCCCTCTTGGGGCATATGGCGGTTTACCCGCCCTATGTTTTTCTGCATGCTCCCACGCTTCCCTCATCACCTCCAGTCCCCTGGGGCTCATTTCTGGACGGGCTGGTGGGGATACGCGAAGCGTCTAGAATTTAGACAAGCGCGTTCCACTACTCGCGCAGTTAACCGCACATGGCCCAGGTCCGTCGCAGGGGATCTACGAAAAGTTGCATCGACTCATGCGTTTGTTTTTCGGACGCTTGCGAGCAAACACTTTGCGAGTAGTGAAACGCGCTGGAATTGAAAGAACCAAACATCAGAAACATAAATGTGTGGCGTGCCGCGAGGATTTCTTAGATCTGCCCTGGGCCCCGCTCCCTGGAACGCGCAGCGCGCCAAAGGCGGCGCCAGAGGCGACGCCGGGGGGGCCCAGCGCGGATCCTAGAAGTCCGCTGGGTTTCTTCTTCGGTAACAGCGACCCCAGCAACGTTGAGTGGGCCCTGGAAATTGGAGTCGAATCCAATGGAGGGCGATGAATGGAAGCGGAGTGAAGAATGGACGAAGGTTCCAGGCCCCTCCGCCCTATGAGAAGGACGGAATCGCTTCGGCGAGGCGCACATGCCAAGAAACGACTCACGAGACCAAGCGTACGAAGCCCACGGGGTCCATCGCCAGGATGAGCCGCTCCAGCTCCGCACGGCCAAGCTCACTGCCATGGCGCACGAGGACGCACGATCCTGGCATGGAGGGTACGGAGGAACAACCTGCGCGTTTACCCTTCTCATCTCGTTGGGAACAGAAGCTGCAACGGCGATTCCACGGGGCACTGTGCAACTATGCGTTTTTTCTCTGCATGCCGGCACGCGTGTGATCCGTATGTTCAATGTGTTTGCGTATGCGCCGTCGGGGGCGGCCTTGATCGCTCGATAATGGGGGAGAGAGAAGGGTGCGCTTCCCAGGCCCTTCAGGGCCCCTTCAAGGGCCCAAATTCCCGGGTGCCTCTTTTGCGCAACCTTCGCTGCCCCCCCCCCCATTATCCCCCCCCCTTGATCACAAATAAAAAGGACAGGGCAGTTTGTTACCGGTCCGTCTTGCCGCGCGCTGGTTCAGGCGCCAATTTTGTTCTCTGGTTCCGTCGCCGGTGTTTTGCCTGCGCCGGTTCCGGCTCCAATTCCGGAGCCGTTTCTGTTTACCGTTTCTGGCTGCCGTTTCTTCTCCTGTCCATTATCAAGGGGCACACTTTCGGAGACGGTGGAACAGTTATTTCGCTCCGCCCTGGCACGCGGTCTCCGCGCGCGCGCGCGCGCCGGCGCCCCCGCGGGCGACGGCGGGGCAGACCCGCCGCCTGGCGCAAGGGGGCCGACGCACCACGCTCAGGAGAGGGGCTCCTGGCTGCCGCGAGGCGGTGCACCCAGCGAGCACGGGGGGGGCAAGACAGCTCAGCCCCCACAGCGCGCGCAGGCGGCCGCGCAGCGCGAGCTCCATCAGCCTGGGCGAGGCCGGGGAGGCAGGGAGGGGGGCCGAAATATCTGCAGGGACCGCGGGGGGGAGTCGCAGAAAATAAGAGCTGGCGTTCTCTCGCTCCGCCCTGGCGAGCGGTCTCCGCGCGCGCGCCGGCGCTTCCGCGCGCGACGGCGGGGCAGACCCGCCGCCTGGCGCGAGGGGTCCGACGCGCCGCGCTCAGGAGCGGGGCCCCTGGCCGCCGAGAGGCGGCACTGCCGTGCACAGGCTCCGAGCCCTTGCGGAGCGACAAGGTTTTGGCGGGCGGCCGCGAGTTGGACTGGCCAGGCTGACGACCCAGCAAGCAGATACGAGGCAAGCAAGCGGGCTGGCGGAGGCGAAGAAGAGCACCTGAGCCCTGGCGGCCCCAGAGAAACACGCAAGGACAGTCGAGGCAGCAGCACTCGACGCTTGGCGCCACCTGCCCGGCCTGAAAATGAGCGGAAGCTCTTCTGTGGCTATGTAGAAGTCAGCGGCGCCTGAACCCCGAGGACAACCAGGGGCCAAGGTCAGTCCAGCGGCGGCATTGGCGAGCGGATTGCCCAACGCCGAGTGCACATGGTTCCACCGAGCACGGCAGCCGCTAGCCCCTAAGAGGGGGCGAGCGGATCGGCGGAAGCGAGATGTCCATAACCGCGCACAAACAGGCCCACTGACCGACGAACCGAACACCTCGCGTGCTGAGCGGGGTAGGAGCGACGGGTCTTCGGCGCCGCGACGGCCAGGAAGGCGTCGCCTGTCGGCTCGAGACGGTCCGACGGCAAGCAAGGGTCGCACCTTCTGGCCTTCGTGGGTTCCCCTGGACGCAGGAACAGTAGGAAACCGAGCAACAGCAACGCGGCCATGTCTGGCCAGTCCCAGATGAGGCATAGGCCAACCATCGCTCGCAAGAGTGCGCGAGGCAGCGGCGGACGAAGTTTGGGAAGCTCTGCAAGATCCCACTGCTCGGCGGCATTCGACGCTTCTGTGAGGAACGCACCCGAGCGGGGACGCGCTGATTGGACACCCAGCAGGGCATGCCCAAGGATGCGATGGGAGAGACCAGCGCTCGCGCCAGAAGCGCGCCACTTCGGCAGGGCGTGGTCGGAGCCACTTTGGTGTGCTCGGCGACCACAGCTCGAACGCGTCGACCGATCGCGATCTACGACCGAGATACTCGGGAGTAAAATGGGAATTCCGAAAGAAGGGCGCGCGAAAGCCGCGGGGCCGCACGGCGCCAAGCCCGCGGCCAGCGGGCGCGGCGGCGGCCGCCGAGGCAGGACGACCCCCAACGGCCGCGTGCACGCACAGCCCGCACTCGCACCAGAGCAGCAGGGCGGGCGCGGGGCCTTCGCTGCTCCGCAGGGCCACGCGGCCCGTCGAGAGGGCCGCCCGCCGCTCGCGCGACGCGAAGAACGGCGGCAGCCTCCCCTCGTCGCCCCTGACAGAGACGCGATCATCAGCGCGCGCCTCTGCGAGGAAGTCGTCAGTCGCGACGACGACGCCCCTCGCGATCGTCTCGACCTCCGAGGGCACGCAGAGCGCCCTGCTCTCGATATCTGCCCAGGGGAAGGAGGCAGGCGGGCCGGCAGGGCACGCCGCGCGATCGCGGCCGCGCAGCTTCGCCCCCATCTCGGCAGCGCCCTGCCGCTGCGACATGCCCGGCAGAGGAGTCGGGTGGAAGCGCCGCAGAAGGCCCAGTAACCGTCGAGAAGATCCGCGGGCGCCTCCTGGTTGCGCCACAGGCGCGGCGGGAGCAGCTCGGTCTTCTCGGAGAGATGCGCCAAAAAGTCGCGGGCGCAGACCAAACTGGCCGCGCGACGCCGCTGGGCGACTTTGTCGCCCAAGCCCATGCCCCTGATCCCTCCGACCGCCTTCTCGTCGATCAGAAGGCACCCAGTCAGCCCGAGGAGGGGGCAACGGCATTCAAGGGCAGCAACAACCCTGTCTCCAAGAAAGGGCGCACCTCCATCCCCGAAGAGCCGCGCATGAATGCGCAGCACAGCGAGCAAGCAATCGAGATCGTCTGCCCCGCGCTTTGTCGGAATTGAAAGATTGAGCCCGCCGCCGCCCCGCATTCAGGGTTATTATTATTACAGACGACTACTACTATCATCGTTATTCGCATGAACAGCAACATCATAAGAAAGAACAACCCTAATCACCAACAGCATCATCATCAGCAGCATCATCAACATCGTCATCACCACCATCATCATCATAACCCGCGTCATCGACATCATCATCATCACCATCATCATCATCGTCATTGTTATTAACCGTCATCATCATCATCAACATCAGCATCCTCATCATCATCAACATCAGGATCATCACCATTCTCATTATCATACATCACCATTCTCATTATCATCCTCATCTTCATCCTAGTAGTAGTAGTAGTAGTAGTAGTAGTAGTAGTAGTAGTAACCGTAGTAGTAGTAGTAGTAGTAGTAGTCGTAGTCGTAGTCGTAGTCGTAGTCGTAGTCGGCTGGGCCCCTGGACCACCAGTCGCAGTCCGACGCCGGCCGGCCGGCCGGCCGGCCCGCCCGCGAGGGGAGGCAACAAGACGAAGACATCCCAAGATTTGTTTTTTCTGTTTCAAGCCCCCGTTTCTTCGTCGACTTTTTCGGCCCCTCGGCGACGGTGAAAACGACAGCCCCCCAAGTGAATAATATCAAAAAACAAAGGGCCAAGCGAATATCTTAAAAACATAAGGGCCCCGCCGGGGCCGCGGCGGGAACAAAAAAACAAATCTTGGGATGGCTGGGGAAGCGGCGGCGTCGGGCGCGGCGTCGGGCGCCGGCCGGCGTCGGGCGCGGCGTCGCCGCTCAGAACCTCCGGGCCGCGCCAGAGCGGCGGGGAGGAGGGGGGGGAGGAGGGGGGGGAGGAGGAGGAGGAGGAGGAGGAGGAGGAGGAGGAGGAGGAGGAGGAGGAAAGGGAGGAGGAGAAGGGGGGGGAGGAGGAGGAAGAGGAAGAGGAGGAGGAAGAGGAGGAGGCGGAGGAGGAGGAGGAGGAGGAGGGAGAAGGAAGGGGAGGCGCCTCAGGGACTCCTCAAAATCAGCCAGCGCGTTCTCCGCCTCCTCCGCCTCCGCCTCCTTCTTCTCCGCCTCCTTCTCCTCCGTCTTGTTATTCTTCTTGTCCACCGCAGTCGCCTTCTTGGGAGGGGGGGGGAGAAAACGAAGGGGGCGGGGGGGCCCTCCGAGGAAAAAATGTCGGCGCCCAGCGGTCTGAGCGGAGGGCCCCCCGCCCCCCGCGCCAACATAGATTCTTAGGCTGAAGGTCGGGGCGAGCCAATTGTGCCCTGGACACGGCGGGGGCACAATGGCCACCCCCGCCATCTCCAGGGCACAATTGGCTCGTTTCCTACATCCAGCCCCAGACATCCTAAACAAAAGATAGATTAATGCTCAAAATTTGGGTTCAGGGGGGTGGGTGAGGAGACTCACCCACCCCCCTGAACTCAAATTTTGCGCTCAGG